CCCGTCACCAGGTAATCGGCACACCTATCCTCCTTAAGACCAATCAGGTTGAGAGGAACACTGCTGAACTGTCCAGACCCACCACCCTGCAGGAACAGCACCTTGTAGTTGTCTGGAATATTTCTGAGAAAATAAAAACAAACCAGTGTGTGTTAAAGGCAATCCAGACATAATCACGTGCAGATGTAAACTTACAGGAAGTCTGATTCTTAAACCAAGCAAAGGTACAGTTTGAAAGCAAAAAGCATCTCTTTACTCAGCTGAGACACTAGTGTGGTTTAAATGTGATAGGTAAAATATGCAGCTATCTCTTGTACATCTCTGCCTCCATCGGATTGACAGCAATGTGACTGTCTAAGAATAACTTCGAAGAAAAGGTGCACAACCATCTCGTTTGACCGGTTTGCCTGTCATTAGCGCTGTTGTACAAAAGAGGAAAAAAGGGTACGAGTGTTTATGCATTAAAAGAAGTCTGACTATGATTACAACACGTTATGTACTGTCAGCTGAAACTACAAGAAAAAAAATGAACACCTTTGTTAGGAGACGTGATTATAGTGCAGCATATCTGAAGAAACACAACAGAGCAACAAAAGTTACTTACAACAGCTCTCGCAGGAGGCTCTCTGTTTTGTTGATAATTTTATTGAAGTCTGATGATCGGTGACTCATCTCTAGTACAAAAAGAACATTTTGGGGGATTTTATTTCACTGTATATGACGTACACACACCTTTGATGAAAATGTGATATTTGTGATGTTTAATATTTCACAGATTCCAGAGACTGAGGAAGCAGTGATCAGCTATGAAATATCTGGACGTATGGAAATCTCTCAAGGTTTATTAATCTGGACACAGTACAGTAAACACACACTCTGTATGAAATGTCAGCTACAGGCCACAATTAACAAGAGGTCACAAAGGATCCATCTCAACAGAGTCATCCTTTACTGAAAAATCTAGAGACAACACATTAACATGTTTGTGTACTGATCTGTTTTTCTACTCACCGAGGACACTGATGCCAGTGCCGCTGTAGTTTAGGAGCTCATTCTGAGCTTGAAGCAGCACCTGCAACACATCGTGTAAGTATCTCTTCAAAACGTCTTGATGCATTCTCAATCATCCAGGAAAGTAGATCTCCAAAAGTTGATACTGTTCATCTGGACGTAGCGTTGTGTGGGAGAAACGTTTCGTCACTCATCCAAGTGACTTCTTCAGTCTCAGCTGACTGCAGGTTTCCCCAAACATTACATTTGCATAATGACTGAAACCAGCCCAGAGGAACAATGGGCTGGGAGGTCAGTTCCTTAATCTTAGTTATGCAAATTCTCATGACCATTGATCAACAACCACTGACCAAAACCCACTGATCAAAGACCACTGATCAATGACCACTGATCAATGACCATGAGTACCATTCACAGAGAGTTGGGGAATGGCTGCAATCACAGCATTGTAAGATGGCGAAAGATGTACCCTTAGGCCCCCTCCTTGATTCAGAGATGGTCTTTCACCTTTCACGCAAATGGCCTCCCTGACTCCGCACTCAATGGTCAATGGTCCATTGAGCAGTCAATGGTCATCAGAATTTGCATAACTAAGATTAAGGAACTGACCTCCCAGCCCATAGTTCCTCAGTGGGCTGGTTTCAGTCATTATGCAAATGTACTGTTTATAAGATTTGGGGAAACCTGCAGTCAGCTGAGACTGAAGAAGTCACTTGGATGAGTGACGAAACGTTTCTCCCACAAAACGCTACGTCCAGATGAACAGAATCAACTTTTGGATATCTCTTCAAAAACTATGATGGTAGCTGGACACGTTTTTTTTT